AAAAATGTATTCTTTGAAAATACAACCACAACAAACTATTGGAAATTGTAGTGCTGAAAAGCTTGCTGCATTCTCCCCACTGTCTTTTCCCTTTCCAATGGCTGGAATGGGGATAGCTGGGTAAGCTGTCAAGACCATGAGATGTCAGCCACAATTCATGGAAGGCAGTGTAAAAAAAAAGAATGAGCCCAGGACCTGACATTATGGAAACAACACACGAGAGCAAAGACTGGACTATTATGTGAGTGAAAAACATATTTAACATGTTTAAGCTAGTATTATTATCTTGACCTTTTACAGCAGCAAAATCTGTATCCAAATTAATGCATTATCCTATTCCACATGATATCCCAAGAGCAAGATTTTTTTTCAATTCTCATGAAAAGTAGAAATCTATTGAAGAGTTTAAAGCAAAATGGTATCTCAGGTTGTTTTATTAAATATACTTCTGCTTCTGTACTTTCCAATCCATCTTATGACAAAGCATTTCCTTTCTATTGGGGCTATCTGTAGTGACAGACCATGCTTACCAGAGAATTTCATTGTCCAGTATCATTAGCAATTATATTTATTCAAATAAAACAATATATTGCTCTTCTAGGATTATACTTAGTTCAATAAGCTTAGTTATGTGTGTCTACTCCTGTGATGAGATTCTATTCTTGCTTTAGCAACAAGAACATGAACCTAGAAATGTAAAGGTTAGTCTTGACTGGCAAATTCATATGGTGATACCATACTTTGAGGCCTCTTGGCTGATCACACACAATGCCATTAGCTACTCTTCCTCTTTGACATCTCCATTGGCAAGGAAGAGAACCACACCACTGAGCTGAATGGGCTTTAGTTTTGAAATGAATTATGTTCTTATGGTATAAAGCACACAGGATGAATTAAAGTATTGGATATAGCTGAAGAATATATGAAAGAAAGGATTATGTTATCTTGTTATCTTTATTTTTCAATCATTGCATATTTTTGAGATACTCCCTTCAAATAGGAATTGAAATGATTATCTGTTCAGGAACCAAACCAACTCTTTGCAAGAATAAACACTTAAAAATCCTGACACTAAGTCAAGTTTTCCCAAAGTCATTGGTTTGTAAGATTTGGGCAGGAGAGAGAAAGGAGGGAGAAGGTTTGGTCACAATGATTCCAACATGCTCAATATAGAAGTCTGAAGATATGGCTGATCCTCTTCCTTCTGCTTAGGTATAAGGGACTTGCAGCATGTCATCTTGACAACATGTTTCCCATTTTTCAGTTTGATAAAAGTGTCCCCTTGTCAATGGTTTTTAGTTTGTAATTTGGTTATTGTTCGAGCACTGATTGTCAATGACCTCTATGTCAGCTGAAACCAATGACTGAGTTCAAGCAAAAATGAGCATGCAGCCTCCTAAAATCCCAGACACATGGACCCTCTGCAGCAGAGAGATATAATGGAACCCACATGATACCCCCTTTAAACAATGAAACATGTGACATTAACTCAAAACAGGAACACATCAGCAAATACGCCTGAGGAAGTTTATGGTATTTAACTCCTAAACATTAATTTTATTGTGGTGTATGAGGAACTAATTAACTGAGAGTTTACTTTTTTATTGAAAGCGGAAACACTGTTCAGAAAACTGATGAAGAGTAAATACAGCATATTTTAAGTTTATTAAAGCTTGGCTCATCGACTTCTATTTATTTAAGCTAATCTCATAAGGCAATTAAATATT